ACTCGATGGCACCTGACAACAACAACAATAATATTATCCATGGAGTTCTGGTGTGGCACGGCAGGATAATGCACTGGATTGAAAGGTTGGTTTGAACTGCAAGGTCGGCAGTTCAGATCCACCATTCACTCCTCAGAAACCCTATACAGGGTCACTGTAAGTTGTAGCCAACTCAAAGGCACTTAACAACAACAAAAATATTATCCATGTTGTACAGAGGAAACTGAGGAACAGAGAAGTTAGAAAATTGCCCAAAGTCACACAACTTGTAAGGAGTTATAGGAAGTTATAGGATTTCAAATCGTAGCTCCCTAATTCCAATGCACAAAGTTTTCATCGCTGTTGATACACATGCCAAGAAGGGGAATAAAGTGTTCATGGAGGCTGAATGAGAACATATGTCCTGTTCAGGGGGACAACAGAGGAGTCAGGTACCTGGAAAAGGAACAGGTGCTCCAGGTGACAGTCGAGGTGGCCGTGGTGTCAGGCACTGCAAAGGAGAATGAGAAGTAATGGCCTGAATGAATCATAAGCGTAACTGGCATTGGTGTTCAGCCCAGCACATCACCCGGCATATGGAGAGGAAGTGTGTGAGGGAACCAGCTACCCCTGAAGCCCCTCTAAGTGTGTGGAAGTGTGAAGCCATCCACTGTAGTCTGGGAGGGGCTAACTGAAAGAGCAACCATTAGTTTTTGTAGATGGCTCACTGCCCAGTAGGCTCTCCCTTAACAAAACTTTCTCTAAAACTTTGTCTCTAAAGAATTCTCCCCCAGAGAGGGCAGGACACATCCCTGGACCCCCCCACCCTGAGTCATGCAGTAGGGCAGGCTCTGGAACCCCAGTCACGAGGTGAGAGGTGAGGCAGAACTGATTTGGGAGTTCCTCATGCCCCTGGATTCTGTTGTATCTTTCTCTCAGGACAGAGGGGCAGCTGAGACTTTATTTTTCTCCCAAGTCCACCTCCTCCTAGCTCCTCCATGGAACCTTCAGGTGTTGGGACCCCAGGCAGAACTGGTCTAGTCCTTTTTCCAGCCCCAGCCCCAGCCCCAGCCCCAGCCCTCTGTGAAAGTTTTTGAGGCTCTGTGTCTTACTTTGCACCCTTCTCAGTGCCCCAGGCTCTGGCTCTCTCTTAGAGCTCTTCCATCTGCTAGCAGTGTTTCTGTAGTCCCTCTGATCAGTTTTGGAAGACAAGGACCAGGTATCA